TGTGTCTGCAGTGGGAGAACTTCTGTGCTGAAGACACCCTTCTGGGGCAAGACTTGCTTCAGTGGGGCTTTGGTGCTCACTGAGTCTGCCCCCTGAGTGTGTCGCTTATGGATCTGAGGAGTTGTAATCTGGATGGTCCCACTCTGACCACTGCGTACACTGGCTCTTAGATATAAGGAGGTGCTAATTTAGCCTCTGCCTGAGGCTACCCAGCAGGAGCTATGGAGAGTTCTTCAGATTCCTCTTCCTTGTTTGGGGTTTGGAGGTGCCCAGATGAGGCCCAGCTGTGAAGCAGTGCAAGCTGATGTGGGGCCTTGGGCCTTCTTTTGGAAGTTCTGGGTCTCTCTGGCCCAGCTGCAGTTTGTTAGGTAATTTTCAGATTGCAAAGGGCCAGGCCTTCCATATGCCAAAGCTTCTGCTCACAGCTTGGGTGGGGCGGGGTCTCAGGGGATCAACAGGGCGGAGCAAGCAGCTGTGGCTGTTCCTCAGTCCTACCCTAAGAGGCCCCGCATCTCAGTGTCCCCGTAATTGCTGCATTCACCTCTGAGAGAAAGCCGCCCTCGAGTTCGGACTGATGCCAGACAGTCCAGTTTCTCCCCGTATGAGTCTGGGTCCCCAGAGACTCACCCAGGACTGGAGTCAGGGCCATTGGGAACTTGTGACTCCATCCTGATTGAAAAAGACAACCACGTCCTCAGTTGCCAGCCCTTTCCACGTGCGCCTCCGTACCTCTGCACTTTGCTTCCACGCCTCCTCTGAGTCTCAGTGTACTTTTCTCTTTCCTTCTAGTTGTAGAATTTCCACTCCGCCAGCCTTCCTGTGGTTCTGGATGATGTCCATTTTGTCTTTTAGTTGTAGTTTTGAAGTGGTTGTGCAAGGCAGCAATTTCCGGTGTTTACTGATGCCGCCATCTTGGTTTCTCCTCCGACTTTTCTTTCTTTTTAAAATATATTTGTATTGATGTCAGAGAGGAAGGGAGAGAGAGAGAGAGAGAAACATCCGTGATGAGAGAATCGTGGATCGGCTGCCCCCTGCGTGCCCCCACTGGCTGAACTGGCTTGTGCCCTGACCGGAATCGAACCCTGACCCTTGGTCCAGGCTCAGCCGCTGAGCCCGGGACCTGTAGCTTTCGTCATCCTCGGGCCAGAGATGAGCGCCTTCAACCCCACATCGCCCTCCCGGGCGTCGCTTCCTCAGGCACACCTAATCCTCAGGGCCTGCTGCTCATTCAGACCGGAGCACCCAGAGCAGCCAGCCCACAGCATGCAAGCGCCTGGCTCAGCGGTGCTCCTCATCTGGGAGCACCTGCGGCCAGTGAAGGGCTGTTTGGGCGATGGCAGATGGCTTGGAGGCATTCCGCAAGTACTGCTGAGTGATGAAAGCAAGCTACACTTGCCTGGCCGGGTGCACAGTGGTTAGAGCGTTGGCCTGCAGACCAGAAGCTCTCCGGTTCCACCCCAGGTCAAGGACATGTACCTCCCTGCAGGTTCCTAGCCTAGGCAGGGGCACATGTGGGCGGCCACCAATTCATGAGTCTCTCTCATACAATGTTTCTCTCTCTCTCCCCTTCCTTCCTCCCTCCCACTCTCTCTAGAAATCAAAAATTAGTATCATATTATTTCTGATTTTAGTAATACAGTCCTTCTGATATTTAGAAGTAAAGGTAACACCATTATATTATATTCTATAAAAAAAGGAATGCACAATATGTCACTTTTGTACAGAGAAAGCATAATATGCCTTCTACTTAGCTGATTATATTGACATGTTACTGAACATAATACCCTCTAGATCAGCGGTTCTCAATCTGTGGGTCGCGACCACTTTGGGGGTCAAATGACCCTTTTATAGGGGTCACCTAAGACCATCGGAAAACACATATATAATTACATATTGTTTTTGTGATTAATCACTATGCTTTAATTATGTTCAATTTGTAACAATGAAATTGGGGGTCACCACAACATGAGGAACTGTATTTAAGGGTCGCGGCATTAGGAAGGTTGAGAACCACTGTCCTAGAAGATAATATGAATAATCTGAAAGTTAATCAAAGTGTGCAAGGGGACTTTTTTCCTTCTTGTTGCTTTGGGATTATCTCCTGTTTGTTTGTTTGTTATAAACAAGGGGATCATTCTTAAAAGAGTCAAATTGACCAAATCCTATTACAATGAAAAGTTGATGTGTTTGTGGTGTTTTATTAGGTGAGAAACGTTATTGAAAAATATATTCCAGCCCTGGCCGGTTTGGCTCAGTGGATAGAGCATCAACCTGCAGACTGAGGGGTCCTGGTTTGATTCCAGTCAAGGGCACATGGCCAGGTTGCGGGCTCGATCCCCAATAGGAGTGTGCAGGAGGCAGCTGATCAATGATTCTCTCGCATCATTGATGTTTCTATCTTTCTCTCCCCTCTTCCTTCCTCCTGAAATCAATAAAAATATGTTAAAATATATATTTCAGCATAGTTGAAGTGAGTAAACTGACAAAACAAATGTCTGAATATGTCACCTGGAGTGTTTACTTCCCTACTCCCTTCTCCAGAATTTCATTTTCAGTATGTTTTATGTGATGAATGACAAGTCACTCATTTTTTTTTTCAAATCCCAGGATGGTTAGATGTGGGCAAGATGAAGTGGATGAAAGGGAAGCTTTGAAAATTATTTTTTTAATTGATCTTTAGAGAGAGAGAGGAAGGGAGAGAGAAACATTGATTTGTTGTTCTACTTATTTCTGCATTTATTGGTTGCTTCTTGTATGTTTCCTGACTAAGGATCAAATCTACAACCTTAGGGTAGCTGGACAATGTTCTAACCACTGAGCTGCTGGCCAAGGAGAAAATTAATTGCTATTTAAGCGAAGGACAAAAATGTTGTGAGGGTGGGAGCCTCCTTTCCCCCCTCCTCCTCCCCACCTGTGGTGAAACACCAGCCAACCGGCCAGACAATAGCCCACTGCAGGCCGGGGCCAGGGATGGCACTGTGTGCGGATAACAGAGCGCTATTCTAGGGGTGGCTGCGGGAGGTGGAGATAGCTGTGTCACAGGATGGTCTTCAGACAGCATTTGTTGTACAAAAAAAGTCACCTCAAAATGAAAACTGCCTCAGGGAAGGAAGCTTCCCTCTGGATTGGGTTCCACATTCCAACCTCTTCCTCCTTCGAGTTTACAGCTGAGCCAGCGCCCGCCTAGTCCGGGAGCCAGGAAGCTGGGCGAGGTTAGGGCTCCAGGCAGTGCTATGCCGGTGCAGGTCTCAGATGCCCTCACCTCCGCCACAGTTGGTTGTCTCTCTGACCTTATTCTTTCCTTGTCATTTCTGTGATTTTAGTAATAGTTGTCTCTAATCCTTTCTTTAAACTCATCATTATGAAACCTTAAAATGTATACAGAGGTAGAGAGGATAACGGTAATGAGCCTCCAAGGACCCATCACTACCTGCAATAGTTATGACCAAAGGCAAATTGCTCCACCTGACCCCTCCTTACCCCCTTCCGACTGAGTGCCCGAGGCAAGTCCTAGGCTGCAGTATCATTTCATTGCTAAATCCTTAAGGATGTGTCATTCAAGTGTAAGAAAGCTGGAGGAGGTGGCGGAGGTAGGAGAGAGTAAAGGCGGGACAAACCGTTCTGGGAGGAGCCCTGACCCGGTAGCTCAGCTGGTTGGAGCATCGTCCAGATGTGCCAAGGCCAAGGGCTTGGTCCCCAGTCAGAGCACATACAAGAAGCAAACAATGATGCATAGACAAGCGCAACAGCAAACCAGTACTTCTCTCCTCCCTCCTTTCTCTCTAAAATCAATCAATACATTTTAAAATGGTGATGGAAGGAGACTTGACTTTGGATGGTGAAGCCACAATGCAGTATACACACGATGTATTAGAGAGCTGTACACTTGAAACCTATGTTTTATTGACCAATGTCACCCCAATAAATTCAATGATCACATTTTTAAAAATTAACAAAAATTCCTTAAAGTCATCAATGCCCAGTCTGTGTTCAAATTTTCCTGATCGTTTCATAAGTATATTTGTACAACTGGTTTGTTTGGCTTGAACCAAACACGATCCACACATGGGTGTTTGTGCTGTAGTGTTTCCCTCGATCTAGATCTTGCCGACTTCGTCCCTTGCTGTGTAGCAGGGTGCTCCGTCCCCTGCACTCCTGTTGGCTGACGGGTTAAACGCGCAGTCACCTGCCAGGCACACTCCTGGGAGCGCCGTCCCTGCTGTTCCCATCAGCAGGTCCACAGGCCTTCTGCTCTCTCGGTTACAAAGAAAAAGCTGAACTGTGAGCTTGGCAGCCATGCTCTGTCGGTGCCCAGATAAGAACCTCAAAGTGGACTTTGCTGTATCTTCTTCTACGGTTGTATTTAAATCTACGAACCCCTCCTGACCCATTTATTTATTTTTTAGATGAACTTCTTTATTATTGATTTGAGAGAGAGGAAGAGAAAGAGAAACATCGATTTGTTGCTCCACTGCGTCATGCATTCATTGATTGTTTCTTGTATATGCCCTGACTGGATATCGAACCCGCAACCTTGGTGTGTGTGGATGAGCTAGTGGGCCAGGGCCCTCCTGACCAGTTTAATGTTGCTTGTTGTGACTTGATTCCTAACGAGAATGGCAGTGTCTTCACCCAGCCCTCTAAAGCAGAGAACAAGGTACGGGCTGGCGGAAGCATGGCACATTGAGCCTGGACAGGCAGCGCGTGGGCACTGCCCAGCAGACTCTAGAATGGGAAAGCGGTGGAACCAGAGCGCTGAGTCCCTCCCTCCCTCCGCTCCCCTCCACACGCTCAGGCACAAGTCCTGTGGGTCCTCCTGTCTCCAAGCTCCAGAAAAGGAATTCCTAAGCCGCGTGCGATGGAGCCCTCCGGCAGCCTGGGCAGGTGATGGCCCTTCTCGGAGGACGACTTAAATGCATAAAACAAAACACATCAGCCCTGAAACAGTGAACAACATACAGGATATGGGATGGCCCTGATAATGAGTGTAATTTCAAACTAATGAGGGACATAAGTGATACTTTGAGATTTCTGCAACAACTCCATATGACATGAAGGCATTTGTGGTTTTTATTGATGACAAAGTCACAGGTTCTGCGTGTATTGCTTACAAACATAATAGAAAGAAACACTACATTTGGTTTCAGCGTTACTGACAATACAAACGTATCCTTTTCCCTATGTGAGTTCACAGCCCTTTGAACTTCTCCACCTCCATCATGGCCCGGTGCCAGCTCCTGTCCTTTTCATTGTCCCCACTACCATGACCTCTGAACTGCCCACCCGACTCTCCTCTGCTCTGTGGTGTCAGCTCAGGTCTGTCCCTGAGGGGCGGGCCCTCCGCCACCCTGGCGGCCTCAGCATCCCTTAGCAGCTAAGGCTTAGCTGGTTCTCAAAACTCCCCAAGATTAGCCCAACCTGCAGCCTTGAGTGCTGCTGTTCCAAGCTCTAGCCTCTCCTTCAAGACTAAGCTCAGGTGTCAATTCTGTGCTGCCTTCTCTGAGCCTCAGTTATGTTCATTGCCTCACTCACCTCACTGTGGAGTGGGCAGCCTGGTGCGGGGTGCCAGCTGGCTGGCCTGTGCTCCCTCCAGATCCTCCCTCTGGGTGGGCCTGTGCTCCCTCCAGATCCTCCCTCTGGGTGGGCCTGTGCTCCCTCCAGATCCTCCCACTGAGTGGGCCTGTGCTCCCTGCAGATCCTCCCTCTGGGTGGGCCTGTGCTCCCTGCAGATCTTCCCACTGAGTGGGCCTGTGCTCTCTTCCAGATCCCTTCCATTGGGTGGGGCCCGGCGCGCTGGCCGGCCTGGCGGTGCTGCCCTTGCTCCTGCTGCAGCTGGTGGCCGGCCTGCTCTTCCTGGGCCTGCAGCGCAGGCTGAGAGGTACGCCCGGCACAGTGCCTTCCCAGCATGAGCCATGAGCCGGCTCCCAGCGCTTCCTTCCCATGCTCCTGGGTCCAGAACCCCGCGCCAGGCTCACGCAGCAGAGCGCTTGTCAGGCCGCAGACCCAGGCACCCTGAGGTGGGCTTGCAGATGAGGCAGCCGAGGCAGGAGCGGGTCCACGTGCCTGGAAGCCTGTGCGGGGAGCTCAACCCGAGCCGTGCTGGGCCCCGGCCCAGGGAGCATTCACACGCAGGGAATGAGCTTGGGTGGCGCAAGGCTGGGCTCTTAAGGGGAATACAAACACGCAGCAGGCATTCAAAACCCCCGTCCTCCATCTCCATGCAACGCCAAGGACTGGGTTTTGCCGGAAATGGAGCTCCGCGTTTGCGCCCACACTGTCCATCCCTGCCCCGCCAAGAGGATGGCAGCGAGAAGGGCTTTGCGGGGAGTGGGTGTTGGCGGCATAAAGAATGGGGCTTTTTCTCTCCTTGAATTCATCCCCCATTAGCAAGGCCTTAAGTCCACAGGCTGAGCAGAAAGAACCTGATGGGTCCGCGGGCCTGCGTCCGCTCCGCTGCCCCTCCCGGCTGTGGGCCCCACCCGTCAGGCAGAGCCAGCGCCCTCCCCTCAGTTGTAAGGAGGGACTAAGGGGTAATGTTATGTGAAGCGCCCGGTGCAGCAGCTCCTCCGCTGTGTTCAGTCCCTCCCTTCCTGTCAGACGGCCGCGGCTTTACGTCCACACAGTGGCCCCAGCGGGTGGGGAGGCCTGTGAACTGACAGGGCCAAGCCGGGCGGAACAGGGGACAGTGATCAAATCTTGTTGGCCTGGGGCTTTGCTGTCCACCGAGGTTCCCCACATTCTTTATCCCAGTTTAATTGTTTTATTGCTTAAAGTATCACACAGTGTTATATATGTCTTCTTTTTTTTTCTCCCCTTGACCCTCCCCTAGCCTCCCATGTGCCCCAGTGTCTTGTGTCCATTGGTTATGCTCGTATGCGTGCATACAAGTCCTTTGGTTGATTTTTAATCCAGACAACAGCCAAGTAAAGAGCCGGGCTCTCCGCTCCAAGCCCAGCGGCTCTTCCCACCAGAGCAGGCCGGTGTGCGCCAGCCCAGGGACTGATTGTGTTGCCTTTTTCCATTTTAGGAAAACTTCGAGCAGAGATAGGTGAGTTTCACTTACCTTCCCTCCTCCTCCTCCCCACCCTTCTGGTTTTGGCCTCACCAAAATGGTCGCTCTCTCAGAACATCTTTGCCAATCCCCGAGTTCCCTTTAAAACTCCCAAAGCAGCCCAAACTGACAGAACATTCATTCCTCTTGCTGCTGTGAGCCAGGATAGGCACCAACTTGCAGCTTCCCTCCCTCCGTCTGTCTGTCGGGTGTCACTGTCAGGTAGAAAGAACTTTAGGTGATTTAAAAAACACAGGCCCAGAGGAGGCAGTGTGGCCTCGCAAGCCTTCTAAGTGCCTCTCCCTCTGTTCTTTTCAGAGAGCCTTCACAGGACCTTTGGTAAGTGCTGGGGTACAGGCCCTGGGTCAGCTATGTCCCCCGGCCCAGGCACCTGGCCAGGGCAGGACCCTGGCTCCAATGGGTTTCCTCTGCCTTTTCTTTGAATAAGCACCTGCACCTGGGACAGGTGAGATGGCTGCGAGTGCGGGCACTTGCGCTGAGGCACTGCTGCTCGCTCTGCAGGGCTCACACCACATGCTCATCATCCTCTTCTCAGGAAGCAGAGGGGGGCAAATGGGACCTTTGCACAAATACTCGCTGTCTAGCGGGGAAGTGCCACCCTTACATGAAGTAACTGGAGAACCAAGGACACGTGTCACCAGCTGAACTCACGCGGTGGCGTGTTTCTGAGTACAGGAGTACAACTACATGACTAACCCCGGGGGGCTTCTTGGAGGAAGAGTGAAGATACCATGCCCCACTAAAATGCTGTTCAGGTCCAATTATGTCATTTCAAAATATTGATAAACATAAGCAGTATTTTGAGACTTCTGCAACATGTTAAGAAACCCCATACAATATGGGGGGGTGCGTGGGCATGGGGAGCCCCATTAACCCTGTTTGTTCTTGGTGGACAATTCAGATCCTCACTTTCTGAGGGTGCCCTGCTGGAAGGTGACCCTGTTTGTCATTGTGCCGGTGCTCGGACCCCTGGCCGCCTTGGTCATCTGCTACAACTGGCTGCACCGAAGACTAGCAGGTGCAGGGGTGGGGTGCACACAGGGCCACGGAGCAGGGGGTGGAAAGATGAACCAGGGCTCCAGATGCTGGGGTCTCCCTCTCTGTCCCCAGGGCCAGCCAGGCTCCTCAGGGAATCCGTGGGTCCCATAGTGGAAAGGGGGTGCGTCCCTGCAGATCTGCACAGGGAGGCGCGGGCGGGAGCTTGTCACCTCCAACCAGTCACCTACTTCTCTTTGTTTTCAGGGCAATTTCTTGAAGAACTAAGTAAGTTCTTTCCTCCTTCGTCTAAGCTGAAAACAAAAAAAACAACAGGAAAGCAGCAAAAGAGTGGGGCCATGAGGCATGGAAAGGCCAGAGGAAAGGGGGGCTGGGCTGCACGGGTGAGGGCACTCTGTGAGGTAGCAGCCGTCTTGCCAGCTGGACAGGTGGCAGGGAAGGAAGTGGGCCCACCCCTTCCCCTTCCGAGGGCAGCTGCCTGCCTCAGCCCAAGGCCTCAGAGACAGGCCCAGGCGGGGTGGCACAGAGGGCCTTTCCTCTCCCGGGTTAGATGGTTTCATGGAAGAAACTACTGACAGATTTTTCAAGTTGTTTTCTTCTCCTAGGAAACCCCTTCTGAGTGAAGGTGCGCGCTGGCAGAAGTGGAGGAGAGCCTGGCTGGGCCAAGGGTTGGTCCTGGGGTGTTGCATCCATCGAGGCCTCTTGGCTGTGGGCACCTTCCAACTTGCACTTCCAGGAACGCTCTAAACTCCAAATAGGATTGATTTCTTTTTTTGTTTGTTTGTTAATTTTTTTTTAAGGAAAGGAGAAACGTCATTTGTTGTTCCACCTTATCTACACACCCATTTGTTTTTCTTCTGTCATCTACTTTTTCCCAGCTGTCTTTCCTGTTTTTGTACCTACGTCTTTCTTTTTAAAAATATATATATGTATATATAGTGCCCTTGACCGGAATTGAACCCGGGACCCTTCAGTCTGCAGGCCGACGCTCTATCCACTGAGCCAAACCAGCCAGGGCTGTACCTACATCTTTCCACCTCCTGCCTCCCACCCGGAAGTCCGCAGGCACTGGGCCTCAGAGGGCACCTGTGCTGCACCAGCGCCCCGGGGCCTCTGACTCTCCCCTGCCCCCCAGCATGCCGACCTGCAATGACCTGTCCCAGCGGCGGAGTGGAGGGTGGAAGGGAAGGAACATGAGTCCAAAACAGCAAAGAGCAGAGGGCGCGGCAGAGGGAGGACGCAGGGAGAGAGCCAGCGCCTGGCGGAGCTCCGCCCAGCGGGGCGTCCTGAGGACCAGGGGACACAGGTGCGGATGGCCACCCTGCTTTGAGGCCCCCCTGTCCTTCCACGGCCAGCAGAGGGGTCCCTCAGGCTCCCCTCCCGTCCCTTTCCTCCCATGTCCATGCCTATCAGAGTAGCCCCCGATTCGCTCAACAATTCCTGCTTTATGGTGCGAGACACAAAGAAACAGCTGGAGCGAAAAACGCCAAGTTCCCAGGCCACGCCCTGTGCCTCTTCCTCCCGCCCCAGCCTCCGCCCCGGTCCGGTCCGGTCCGGTCCGTCCCCAGGAAAACGGAACAGACGACGTCTGGATCTGGATCGGAAAGGCCTTTACTCTTGTTCCAGGCCCTCGGCGCCCGGTCTGCTGCTTTTCCTCCGCGTCCCTCCTCCCTTCCTCCGGGGCCACCTCCTGGGGGCCCGGCTCCTCGGAGACCCGCTGCCCTCCCTGCCACAGGGCGGG